TGAATTTCTCCTCCCTCTTTGATGGAGCCAATACCTAGGGATGGAACCGCCTCTGAATGGTAGCTGATTGTCAGTGCCATGAAACTCCGGGCAACCAGGAGTTGGAAATATGGGAAATAAGTAGCAGCAGTTTGGAGATACCTAGTCGTCCTCTGGTTTGGCTGGAGGTGATGAATAAGGCTTATCAACAAGCTGGTTCAGTCTCCTACTTTGACGGCAAATCACAGTGCATCACTAATTTTGATGAGAACAAACGCATGCAAATGTTGCAACCAATACTCATACACGTCCGGTTACCTCCGATCGCAAACGAAGTAGAAATTACTACTGACGAAGGATGTAAGTTTGGGGTCGCCTCTACTCACTCGCAGAGGTTCAAGCTGACTCCTTTGAAGCCATAAGTAGAGTGTAATAATTCTCATTTGTCTCCATATCTGAAGCAAGCTTATCAGCCGGATGGTGCGGAAAATCAAGGATGTCCAAAATCCGTGCACCACAGTTTGCACTATCCTGCGGAACGTATACCAAACGCACAAAATCAATTTTGGCAGCGTAAATCCGGGCGTCTTTATGGCTGCAGCAAAAGCAGCTCGAAAGTCAAATGCGGCCTAAAGCATCCCCGATCTGTAGTAAGCTGCTTGATAAGACAAAATTTGGCCCTTCTGTTATCAATAATGGGTTTGTTTTTTAGCCTGAACGAGATAAGTTATTGGAGGTACGTTTGGGTCGCAACACTGCGTGTAGCGGACAACAGAATGAGTGGCAAAACCAAGGTGTATTCTCAGCGCGATACAAATAATTATAAGCTTCGGAAAACAGAGACAGGCAGAGTGCAGCCATTCGAATGCTGCGGCAGGCTCGTTTATCCAAGACAGAAAATAGTTTCCGACAGTCGATCGTAAGGCGCAAGCATGCGTCTGAAACCACAATTTGGGAACTGAGATATTGTCCGTAAGGATTTGGCACATAACGGAGTCTCTTAAATTTTCTCAGACATTAACTATTTAATATCTCGAGTTCCAATCTGGCTGCAGATACAATTTTTCTGACTAAGCGACCTTCCTTCGAAGCCGTTTAATTGAGAACTTAATTTCTCCACGGTCTACTTTGTTGTCCTCGATGATCCTTTGAAGTTTTACACGAATAACAATTACCCCGCTTTTGACAACGCAAAATCAGAGGCAGTTCGCGGCTGGTGTGAGAAATATGAATTCTTTGTGACCGGTGCAACCATTCCCTGATGGCGTATTCCTGCGGAGGATGGACAGTCAAGAAGCAAGTTTTTACACGGTTATCGCCAATCAATGTACAACATGCCACGAGTCACTGCGGTGCTCTTGATGAGATATGTGTATGCGCCGCAAATCAGTCCGGGAAGGCGCCGTCCACCCAGGGTTACTCCAACCACCGCATTAAATATCGACTTCCACTGTTATATCGTTCGTACTATGCACATTTTTTCACTAGAGCAGATGACATCTGTGGTTGCTGTAAGCCTTTAAGAATGTGACTGAGTTTTAAATGTAGATTTTAATGATGGCGGTCAAAGCAACGTGTTTGTATCTCGATATTTTGCAGGCGGTACAAGTGTTGGTGTAATGCAGGGCGCAAATCCCCTTGGGTAAAATTTCTTCGATCAACAGACCTCTGCAAAAAGATGCAAGCTGTACGCCTCTTTTGTTTCTGTTGGCATGAAAGTCAGACCACCGGTCATATATGCCTACGTTGCAATAAATAATTTGTACTTTGCGTACACATTTCACGTAGATGGAAAAAATTGTGCTCCATCAGGAGGATTGTTCCATTAGGCCATTGCTTTTGAGCAAGATCGTGAGTCGCCAAATCTGTAGCAAGTCGACCATTCATGAAAAACGCGAATTTCACCTTTCGGGAACACTCATCGTCTTGAGGGGACAAAAGGCCAGTTTACAAGACCCATACGCCATACCGATAGCCCAGATCGTAACATGCAGATGGCCTTCCGGCCCTCACAAGTGTGGCGCGCACTTCACTCATCGCTCTCGCCGTAGTTTGGTTGGTATGTGTGGTGTTATGCGTGTTATNNNTTCGCGTCGTTTACGGTATGATAACCACCGACCAGGTACTTGAACTCCCTGGTACAACGCAATCGAAACTGATGTATCACCAGGTGCAAGGTTTGTCACACGTTGTAATAACATTTGGCCCCTTTGTGGAAACCACCGAATGTTCCCATGTGATTTGCAACACGCTGTTACCTGTACATGCGCCTGTGACCGCTGCATGCGGCTACCACTTGTACACC